ACCGCATAGGGCGGCAGAAGAGGGAAAAACAAGCCGCTGTAGCTGCCGGTAAATGAGAACCCTGTGGATTTTAGCAAGCCGGCCGCGGAAAAAGTCCAACTCGGACCGGAGGCGGTCGTTGTCAAGCCGAAAAAATTGGCAGTTGTGGACCACGGTCCGAATCCGGTTCGATAATTCTCGGTTCTCTGACTTAAGCCGGTTCAGATGGTTCCTTAAGCCATCGAGGTGCCGTTGCTTTCGCATCCTCGACCGCCGGGCTGATTCCCGGTTCGATATCATGCGCTTCAGCCGCCGTTCCTCCTCGGGAGACATGACAGGCCCGGACCAGTCCGTTTCGGCCGGCGGCCGAGCCTCCCATCCCTCAAGGGCCGCGAGGAACTCCTGAGACACGGACATCGGCTAGAAAGTATCGGAATGAGCCGATATCTAAAACCCAGAATTCTATGGGCCTGAATTGTAATAAGGACTTGCAGAAAATTTTATTAACAGAGAGAGCGGGTGGAGAAAAGGGAAGGAAGGAGGAGGGGTGGACGGGTATTTATGGAGGTTGGGGGTCGATTAACGTGGAGCCCACTGACCGGCACATTATGACGTGTCAAAATAGATTGTTTTTCGGGGGACCCAGTTTGCGTGGGTGCGATTTGGGAGCTTCAATGGGTTTTTAAAAGTGAAATTATTTTGGCATTGTTTAGCTTAATCGCGAAGCAATAAGGAAGGCGAGATCTGGCCCTACACGTTTCCAGAACTGAATAGTCCAAGAGGTAGTCGGTATCTCATAGCTTGATGTTACTTTGATAATTAACTTGGGCTGGTAGCGCTTAAACTAAACTAATTTATTTATGGTAGAGCATGCATGGCGGAAGTTTTAAAATAAGTGAAGTGCCAAATTAATTTTATTTACATGGGACAACTTTAGTCCCAAAGTTTAGAGTACTGAAAAATAATTCACAAAATTTTTAAATTGGGGATAAAATAGTTTATATATTGAAAATGATTAGAGCTCAATTTTAAAATAATCAAAAATTAGTTTTGATACCTCTATAAACTCTAAGAGTAAAATTATTTATTATGTCTACTAATTGAAATAAATAAATTATCTTTATTTTCATTTTTGATAATTCTTCAACTAATTTGATAACTAGTGGCCATTTAATATTTCTCAATTTGCTGAGAAGCGAAGTCCAAGTTGTGTTCGTCCTCTTTTGCCTATATCTTTTTTTTTATGACGCCTTTTTTAATTCACCCACTTTGGCACTAAGCTCAATCTTGATTAGAGTAGATCCATGCCGCACAAATTTTTTTTTAATTTACATATCTAACCGTTAAATTTCAATTTTTTACGTACACGTCGCATTCCCTTTGCATAAAAGTATGTAATTCAAGGTATTTTTATGTGATATGAAAGATATGGGTGGTTTAAATGTAAACAATAAAATTTAGGTGTTAGAGATGTAAAAAACGTAAGAATTAGGTGATATGTTTGTAAATGCCCCTAAATTTTATTATCTTCTCGTTTTTTCAACACCTGGAGATGAACTTTAAAAATGTATCACCAGAATTGGGTCTCCAATTTTAGAATTTGATTTAATTGTTTGGAGGGTCAATTAGGAATGAATTTATCTTCTTCTCTTCCAATAATTAAAACATCTTATCCATTTAACTAATTCACTATTTCTATGTGAATTATTTTAAACATTTGCATTGGGTTTTAGATTTTATCTTTTACAATGCTTTAAATAACTCTTTTGAAATCATTAGATGCTTCAAGAATTAGAGTTGACTAATGACCACTTATACAAGCCATTGAAGCACAAAATAAATCAAATAATCTCATAATGAAACGGAAGAAATTAAATATTCATTAAAGAATATATCTTAAATGTACCATAAATCAATAAATGAAATTTATTCATCATAGTTTGACAAAAGAAATCTTTAGAACTCATGAAATCTAATATACTAATAGAATAAAACAAATAAACAAAATATGACCATTTGTGATTTTGTGCCTCACCATTTATTTATTTATTTATTTATTTATTTTGGAACCATTCCAACTATCTTATCAATATATGTTCCACTTTGAGATTCTTTCAAACTTTCACATGTTCGAGGGGATCAAAATACACCAAATCAAATCAAGCGATCCCAAGTGAGACGCGTGTCAAGCAGCTAAATTGGGCGGATGGAAAAGTCGGCCGAAAGTACACAATAGGATTGCATGTCAACCATTCGAATAAAAGAAGGCCGATCACAAGCAATGACCTCACTGTTTACACGACCAACCCCAAGATGAATGACAATGACCTCAAAACGCTAAGGGCATCATCAGCATTTCACAAAATAGCTATGATACACCATCAACAAATTTTCATCATTTTGCATGAATCTCAAAGTATGACACGAATCTCGAGATAATATCTTGGGCAAGAAACTTTCAAACTTCAATTAAAGATCATTCATTGCTCTGATTTCAGTAAGCTTATAGTCAAACTGACCGTCTCAACAAGACAAACTCAATGATACCAAAATTGGTCTAATCTGAGTTTGATCAACCCCAAATTAAGTTATTGAACCACATTTGGAGGCTTTAGATAGTTAATTAGAAATTCAATAAACTCCAAATTCGACCTACATATAGTCAAATCGAGCTTCTCGACGAGAGGAACCCAACGAGTCCAAGATTATTTGATTTTGAGGTCATTAAAACCCTCATATCTTTAAAAAAGATTCCTATGATCAAAAGGAATCAACATTGGTTGTTTGATTGGGTGGTTATGAGAATTATTCGTCAAATGACCAAAATGCCTCTCCCTATGTTCAATTGAGGGGGAGGAGGAGTCAAATCCTAATATAGTTCTGGACAGAAAACTTAATGATAATTTTTTTAGCTTCCATAGTCATCAACCACTGTCTACTATAATCCATCGGTTGTCATACACCATCGTTAGACGCCCCATGCTCGCCGTCAATGATGAACTTGGTCGCTTATGAAGTATCACGAATACGGTGTAATAAAGTATCATGAATACATTGTAATAAAATATCTCAAATATGGTGCAGCGAAGTATCTCAAATTCAATGTAATGAAGTATCCTTGAATACAATATCATGGATACGACGTAATAAACAATGCCATGAATATTCGTCAATAACTCCCGGTAACAATAGCTTATGACTTTCATATTTAGAATGTGGTGACTTTCTCTAAACTCGTAAAGTTTTTTATATGCTATATGCTGACAAGTTATCTCGAGCATAAGATAATAAATTCGAGAGGAGGGTTGCAACAAACAATTAGTGTAGCACTAACTATTACTTTTGTGGCCAGTTACTACTTTAGCTTCTCAATACAACCTACATTGTTTGTTGTTATCATTACTGCTTTCCACTATAATTTTTGTGACCAGTTGACGCTTGCAGTGACCCACTATAACCTATGTGGTCGTTACTATTCCTACTACATTTTACTTAACTAATCGTTGTCATTGCAATCTTCCACTATAGCCTCTATGGCCAATTGATGCTACTATAGGAACCAACCATGACCTATGTGATCAATTAAAGCCTATATAGCTAACTGCTACTGCAAATTTCAGTTATGACTTATGTGACCAACTAGCAACCCCTAACTATGGTTTGTGTGACTAACTGCTACTACATTTTCAACTATGGACTCCGTGACCAACTGACAAAATCACAACTACCGATCACAGTCTTTTTGACAAACTATTGCCTTTATAACAATCAACTACGATTTTTGTGGTTCACTAATCTATTATCACTAAGAGCTAAATGAATTGTATCCTAATTAAGACTTTTAAATCACTATTGTACATATGTGATTATCAACATTGTAACTCAATCTTTTATAATTCAGAAGAAGAGTGGAATATTTACTTACAATCTCATAATGAAGTACTTTGATTTGATTAAGTCTCGTGGCTTTTCCCATTTCCATTGTCATTTCACGTAACAAATCATGATGTCTCCTATTGCTACTTTTCTTTTATATATGTATATTAGATTTTTGTGCAACGCTAATATGTTAAATCATCTCTCAATTATCGTGAATATTCCAACATGCAATATATATAAAAAATTTTAATGTAAGTTTTGATATATAGTTAACCCTAGACTTTAGGAAAAAAATATAAGGAATATTTACTTACATACTAGGAATATTTACTTGCATACTATTCAATTCTTATTTGTATTTATATAGCGAACACATAAATTTTAATTTTTATGTATTTGTCATCTAAGAAGTTGTATTTCACTTTTTAAAATGATAATATTTTTTATGTAATATGAAAAATTTAAGTTATATAAATGTACAAAAAAAAGACAAGGTGCAAGACATGTAAATAGATAATAATTGGGTGACGTGCATGTAAATGCCCTCTGATTTGGCTCCGTAGACGTTCACTTGCCCTTAAAAAAATCAAAATTCAATTAATTTGTAACCATCGGCAACTTTATGAAAGGGCAAATCTCTAAAGTATAAAATCCACAAATTGCATAATACTAATTCCGATGAAACAAGTTCCCTAAACGTGCAACAAACGAATGAAGATGTGGGGAATTGTGGCATTTCTAGACATGATAGTGTATTAATTGGCCAGGAAACTCACTGTTTTTTTTATTATGTTCTTCTGATTGGTCTTTGAAAGAAAGAAAGAAAAAAAGAAAAAAAACTCAGAATATTTTGATTGAATCTGAACATTAATGTAAAAAAAATTATATTTACTTTAAGATGAAAAAAATATTTAGGTATTAATATAATACAATGATACTGTGAGAGTGAACTTAGCTCAAACATTTTTAATCGCTCGAAAATTAATTTAAATTTTAGCTCGATTAAGATCAGATTGAAATAAATGAGCCGAGACTTTCGATTGAATTTCTTGTTGAGCCTATTTCGAGTCATAAATGTATGGTTCATAAAAATTATATATATAATAGTACGTGAATTTGAATATAATGAGTTACAAGCCAATTTAGAGTTGGCACGGATCCAAATAACTCAATATGAGCCATTTAGTTTCAATTTTGATTTAGATTCGACTGATTCTGAGCTCAAGCAGATCCAAATAACTCAATTTGAGCCAATTCATTTTGATTTCAAGCCTGATGGAGTTCGATTCAATTTTGAGCCCGCTCGACATGAAATCATTAATAACGAGCCACAAGTCAATTTCGAGCCTCATTAAATTTATTCGCTGCGACCTCGACCGGCTCGAAATCGGATCGTTAAGAACCCTAATTGACACTCATCTAAAAAATTCAAAAAATTAAGAATCTAACTTTTTGTATGAGTGCGAGACATCAACAAATTTCTATTCTCCATCACTGATCTTGAGGTAAGACATGGATCCCAACATAATCTTTTGTGTGAGAAATATTCAAAACTCGATAAAAAATCATCCAGAGCTCCGATTTCAATAAACTTATAATTAAACTGACTAACTCGATGAGACGAACCAAATGGTACCAACAATAATCTGATCTGAGTCAAAGCAAGCTCAGATCAAGCCATTAAACCTCATTTGGAAGTTTTTCGGACATATTTGGATGATCAAACCAACGTCAAATCCAGTAAGTTCATAGTTGAATCAAGCGTTTCGATTAGACGAATCCAACGAGCTCAAGTTCGATCAATTCTGACTTCGTTAATGCACTCAAATGTTAATTAAATATCATATGGTGAAAGGAAGCTCTCCGAACTGTCTAATCAAAGAAGTTTGTACTCTTGCATTAATTGCACCAAAAACTCTATAAATAGAGTTCCAACTCTCTCAAGTGGGGGACATGAGCTTGAGGCATAAAGAGGAGCTTGAAGCTTTGAGAAGAATTTGAACTCCAACGCCACACTTATCGAACGCTGTCGACCACCACATGTCAGCCGCAGCCGATGGCTGTCATTCGCTGCCCGATCTTGACTACAAATTTCTAACATTGTAATTATGAAGATCTTATAATCCTTTCTCGCCCTTGGTAGAAGTGGTTGTTGTAATCATCAACTTATAGTATATTTTTACAATTGAGTCAAACCCATTACTTTTTTTTCCTTTCGAGTTTTCCACATAAAAAGTTCTGGTGTCTCAACTAGTTATTTTCTTTTATCTAAGTGTGTGTGGAATCTTTGAACAATGCTAGAATGATAATCCATTACTATACCACCGTAAATTTTCTTGCACTCATTAAAGAGTAATCTAAAATAAAAATTTTCAGCATTGGAAATATGCTTTATTGGGTTTTGTTAGAGGTTTGGTTAAGACAAAGCTGGTGTTAATGACAAAATTAATATATTTGTTTTCTTTTTTGTTCATACTTGCACTTAAAGCCAGAGCGGAAGCCCAAACAATTGAAGCTTTCGCATTTATTTATTAGTCATGTAACCAACTTCATTAACTTCAGAGGAATGCTCTACCCACCCACCGAAGATTAAATTCGGCTCAATCAACTCCTTTTTAATTTATAGATATTATTTTTTATTTAAAAAATAAATCAAATGATTTAAAAAGAAAAATGTGTGGACAATAATGCATTGGTTGCCGCAAGTTGAGATTACCATGGGTTGAAGTAGTATTTTCCAACCCATTATTCCAAAATTTTAGTAGGCTTAATGAGTTTTCTTATCTATTATTATTATTATTTTATTTTGAAGAAATTGACATATATTATTTCTTAATGCAATTGAATTATGAGACAATGCAAATAAATTTAAAAGGTAAATACAACTACAATAATAGTATATTTGTGAATCTCTAATAGTTAGTCGTATATGTGGTTTTAAATTTGGACCGGATGGATCAATAAGATTTGTTCAATTGTAAATCAATATTCAGGCTTGTTCAATTTGAGTTCAAAGCTGCCTTTTACGTAGAATCGGTCAAAACCAAATGGGTTCAACTTTCGGTTCTATGTAAAATTAACTTTGGACCGGGATTAGATCAGTAATTTTGATTGGTTCAACTGTGAACTAGTCCTCTTGCTGGTTCGGTATAGATCCAAACTGCTTTCGTATGAAACCATTGATTGAATTGGGGAACGAGCCGAGTTTTTGATAAATCAAATGGTTCTAATATTATTTAATCTTTGGCCTTTTGATTTCAATGGGATGACTAAAATTAAAAATAGATGAAATAATTAAAATATCATATATCCAAATTTTGATTTAGAATCATATTCAAAATAATTAAGCTTGAAGTGTCGTGAATTATATTATTGTGTGTTGAATTGAATAAAATGTTATGTCATATTATTATTATATCATTAAAAATATATTAAATAATATTATTATTATGTCATAT